CAGTCTGATCCACTCATATTGGGCCACTTTGATGAGGCTGACCCAGGAAGGTTCTTTTAGCTGTTTCATGATTCTCTTGGTTAAACTTCTAGCTGGTCTTCCTTTTCCTTTTCACTTGCGTTGCCATCAGGGAGTATCAATCCTCTAAAGTACTCAAAGACAAGATCTCAATTGTTTTTAACAGTGCCCATAGGCTTGTATCCCCCCACCCCCATACTCTTTTCCAGATGAAGTCAGTTCCCTTAGGTGGAGCTGCAGAACTTTTTTTTTTTTTTTTTTGGCATTGGGATTGAACTCAGGGGCACTTAACCACCGAGGCACATACCCAGCTTTTTTTTTTTTTTTTGTATTTTATTTAGAGACAGGGTCTCCAGAGTTGCTTAGAGCCTTGGTAAATTGCTGAGGCTGGCTTTGAACTTGTGAGCTTCCTGTCTCAGCCTCCCGTGCTGCTGGGATTACAAGTGTGTGCCACCGTGTCTGGATAGAACTCTCTTTTTTTATACTTGCCTCTACTCCTGGATAGGAACTTGGCACCATTGCTCTGAAGTCAGGAACAGTGGCTATTTTTCTTGGGGTGATACATCTTCTCTGTGAGTGGAAGTTGCTGGGAAAAAGGCATGGTAGCCCTTGATCTTCTCAAATAGCCTCTGGCTGCATGGAATCTCTGCCCATCAGTAAGCTAGTCTGAATGATTTAGCCTAGTACTGAGGAACTACTGTGCCGGACTCTATAAATAGGGATTGGGTAGGGAGGAAACCTAGTTTGGTGCAGTGTCGCACTCCTGTAATCCCAGCGGCTCAAGAGCCTGAGGCAGGAGGATCCCAAGTTCAAAGCCAGCCTCAACAAAAGTGAGGTGCTAAGCAACTCAGGAGACCCTGTCTCTAAATAAGATATAAAATAGGGCTGGGGTGTAGCACAGTGGTCAAGTGCCTGGTCAATCCCTGGTCCCACCCCAGACTCCCCCAAAAGAGAGGGAACCTAATGGCCTTTTCTGCTGTTCTTTCTAGAATAGTTTCTGCAACAGGCAGCAGAGGGTGGAGCATGAGAAATGCTGGTAGTCAGCACCTCAGTGGAGGAAACTGGTGTTTTAGACTAGGAGCCCAAGGAGAGGGAGCCCTTCTTGACCACACCTTTCAGAATAGAGCTTCTGTCACAGTAAGCTGAAGGAAGGGGGGAGCAAGTTGAACCTCATGTGGCCAGACATGCTCTTATTTACTGAAATTTACTGAAGTTTTACTGACCTTGCACTTCTAGGAGGACAAGAATATTATGTGACTAAAGAAGCCCTATTTAGTGCCCAACACTTAACAGATACTTAGGGAAATGGTTTTGGATTGATACCTGCTTAGTTTGTTCCTGTCCCCTGGATGCCTATGAGCTGCTGCCATTTGGGTTTGTGAGAAGGAGAGTTATAGCTGGTGAAAGCACTGAGTTGAGTCACAAGTCTGCATCTAAGCCTAATTCTGCCCTTAACTAGCTGTGTGATTTGGAGTGAGTTGCTTTACCTCTCTGACTCTAGGCTTCCAGGTATTGAATGTAAGCCATCTAGCATCAGCCCTACGTGTTTACAAGGTGTTCAGGGACTGTGTCTTTCCTTTTCTAGATCATTATGGGATGTTTATATTTACTTTAGGTATGAGAATGACTTTTTGTCTTCTGGCCTCTTATCTCTGTCACATCTTTTTTTTTTTKTGTGTGTGTGTGTGTGTACGTGTGTATGTATGTGTGTAGCACTGGACATTGAATACAGGGTTATTCTATCACTGAGATACATATCTTTTTTTTTTTTTTTTTTTTTTTTTGAGACAGGGTCTTGCAAAGTTGCCTTCAATTTATAATCCTCCTGCCTTAGCCTTCCAAGTTGCTGGGATTACAAGGACCTGTCACTGCACCCAGCTACTTTTTTATTTCCCTGCCAGTATTGAGGATTGAACACAGGGGATTTCTACTATTGAACTACATCCTCAGCTGTTTTTATTTTGGAATGGTATTGCTAAAGTGCCCAGGCTGGTCTTGAACTTCAAATCCTCCCACTTCAGCTGCCCAAGTAGTTGGGATTATAGGTGTGTGCCACCACGCCAAGCTATCTCTGTCATATCCTTATTATACCTTTGCTAATCCCTTTCCAGGCTGAAGCAAAGGCTGTGTGTGTGTGGGGTGGGGGTGGGGGTGGAGGAGGGATACAGAAGAGGCTGGAAACAGCCCGGTGTAAAGAGGTGCTCCCGCCAGTATTCCAGCCACCAACTTATTCCATAGAGTGATAGAGTACACTCTGCCTCTCATGGTGATTATTGTTCTTGTTTTTAGGGCCTATAGGCTAAATGAAATTGGGCTAGAGAATCTCTTACAGAAAATTAATCTTCCTGATTGACAGATCACTTCCTAGAAATCCATAGAATAACTTCACAGGACAGTTGAAATTCAAGTAACCAGGGAGGAAATCTGTCCTCACAAAGGTACCTGTGAGGGGAGGGCCAGGAGTGTGTGTGAGTGGGCTGGGGTGGGGGCAGGATCTCCTGTGTTCTCTCAGGAGTCCAAGTTCTTTGCTTCATCAGCTGCTTTTGCTTCTTCAATTGCTTCATTGACTTGGGCCAGTCTTGGGCCAGCTTCCATGTTAGCTGTTGGCCTGTATTTTCCCTAGGGGAGACTCAAAGACTGGCTATAATCACTCCCATTAGCAGTTGGCAGCTCCCCAATCCACTTCTTTACCTGGACTGGCTTAACCCTGACGTCTGCCAGACCTGTAGTGTTGCACACACCAGTGGAGCCTGCATCTGTTAAGCTCTTGTTCCCCACCTTGCCCCATGTCTAACCCTCCCACATATTAGCACTGGCTAGAATAGCTGAATCTCACACCCTAGCAGCTTTGCTTCTTGGCACTGATGGAAGTGTAGAGATGTGTGGGAGCAGAACTCTGAATGTGGCTTTGGGAAGGAATCCAATGCAGATAGTAGCCACTGGTGGCCCTGCTATGGGTAAACGCTCCTTAGGTGGCTGATGTGAACTGACCAGAATTATGGTACCACAAGCTGCCTTTAACTGAGTGCATGCTCTGAACCATACCCAGGGCCAAGCCACTACACACATGATCTCTCAATACTTACAACAACCGATTTAAGGTAAGTTTTACCAATAAACTGAGGCTTAGGTGAAATGATCAGGCTAACTTCACTCAGACTGTTAAGTGGCAGAGTTGGAGCACCAGCTCCAATCCACCTCCTCTCATCCTTACACCTGCTCTGCCTTGTGTGATTGAACACGGAACTTTTCAAACGTTGCCTGTGCCAAGGAGAAAGAGAAACGGTGCAGGTCATGAGGTCTAAATCCCAACTCTGCTATGGATTAGTTGTGCAGGCTGGAGAAAGCAGGGTTGGTTGAAACTGACCCTTATCCAAGAGGCAGATTTAGGGATGCAGGCTGGGCAAGTAACCACTGTAGTCCCACGGCATCACTTCCCTGGTGCTATGTGGGGTTACCAAGATGAGCCCAGCCACCACAGCTTTAAAATAATGAAATCAGGGTGGGGAGCTTGCAGCCTGAAGGATGTGGAGGAGGAGGAAGATTCAGGCAAGCTTCCTGCCTAGCTTCAATGAGGGCTGGGAATGGGATTATATAGGAGTCCCAAATCTTTCTTGAGCCCCAAATGTTCTAGTCATAGAAATTTCTAGTCATAGAAAGCTCCTATTCCCCTAAAGGGCCCTACCTTCTTTCTTGCCAAGTGTCTGCCTGGATATCCAGTCCTTGCCATGGACTGAGGCCCATGTGGGTGAGTCAGTATGAACTCTGAGCTTGTTGGTGCAGGGTGGCTGACATAGTCCATTCACTGTTCCTTCTGTGCTTTGGCAGGTTGTATCATTCCCTGGCTTCTCCTTTGAGCCTTGGTTTTTATCAGGTGACCATGTGTCTTAATGGCCCTTTGTTTTCCTCTGTGCTAGATACATTTTGTTACTTCCAACTCTTACTTAAAAACCTTTGAGAATAAATACCAAAGCCTTGCTTGACTGGGGCCTCTCCATCAATCCCTTCATTCATTCTCTCTCCCCAAATACTTATATTCAGGGAACTTCCTGATCCACTGGAAAATGGAGCTTCCTTGAGGATGACCCAGAATTCAGTGCTGGGTGCATGAATATGCAGAACTATATTTTTAGGGCTGCCTTTTAAAAATCCCTATTGCCTGACTCCTCCCTCAGTTTTTAATGCCTTAAGGAGAGGCAGGATGGCCCAGTGGAAAGGGCACCGGGTGGAGTGTGGGGGGAAGCTGTCCTGCTGCTGACTGCCATAGGAGCTAGCTGACCAGGTGCAGAAGCCTGAACGTGTGGCCTGAGTCTTGTGCTTGGCGTCTATAACAAGGCCAAAGTCATCCAGCCATTGATGGATGCTCCAAGGATTCAGCTAGTGGAACTCCCAAAGGACTTCCTTAGGAATCCTGTGCTTGCTAAGGTTCTCCTACCGTCGCCCCCGCCAGTCGGCCTCGTTCCTGCTCATTCTGGAGGATGATACCTGCGCCTTTCTTTGCATCCTCCAGGTCCACACGACTCCCCACCCCGACTCTAAAGCCTCAGCGTTCTCCTCCTCCTTTTCTTCCCTCTGATCCAGCAAGCCAGGCTTTCTCCTCCTCTGGTCTCTCCTCTCCCCCTTGAATCCAGTCCTGGTTTCCCCGCCGCCAGCTCCCTTTTTTGTCGGCTGGGCTGGCTCCCCGCCTCCGCCCCCGCCTCGCCCGCCGTCACCAGCTCCGCGGTCCGCTCAGCTCCTCTCCTACCCCCCCCCCCCCCCCCCCCCCCCCCCCCCCCCCCCCCCGCTCCCAGCCACCCAGGGCTCGGCTCGCCCAGTCCGGTGGCTCCAGTCCGGATCTCGGTGCTGCCAAACCCGGGTACGAGTCCCGGCAGCTGGGGAGGAGGCGGCGGCGGCTGCTGGCCCCGGCTCCCCTCTGCCGCCTCGCCAGCCCGAGGTTGGCGGGAGGGAGCAGCTGGGCAGACCCTGGAGCCCCTCGGAGGACAATGCACCCGGCGCTCAGCAACCCTTGCGCGGTCTCATCCTCGTCTGGCTCCTTTCCGCCGCCCCCTGCCGCCGCCCGGCTACAGCCCCTCTTCCTCCGGGGGGGTTCCTCCCGCGGCCGGAGAGGCTCGGGCGACAGCAGCACCAGCACCAGTACCAGCCGGGGGGGAGGAGGCGGCAGACGCGGCGGGGGCGGCTGCTCCCCCAGCAGCAGCACGGGCGCAGAGAGAGAGGACGACGACGAGAGCATCAGCATCAGCAAGCCACTGGTGCCGGCCACCGCCGCCGCGCTCCCGGGACCCCTGGCTCAGGGGGGCGCCGCGGCCGCCGACTCCGCGCCGGCCGCCTTCTCCTCCTCCACTGCCACCACCTCCTCCACTTCCACGCCCACCTCCTCTTGCAGCATGACGGCTGCCGACTTCGGCGGGGGCGCAGCGCCTGGGGCCGTCGGGGGCTCAGGGGGCCGCTCCGCCGGGGGCGCGGGCGGTACCGGGACTGGCAGCGGCGCTTCCTGCTGCTCGTGTTGCTGCTGCTGCGGCCGCCCGGCCCGGTCTGGCCGTAGGGGTCGGCGTCGCTGCTGCACCCCAAGCCCGGGGTGCCGCTGGGGCTACCAGGCGCTGTCCGTGGTGCTACTGCTGGCGCAAGGCGGTCTGCTAGACCTGTACCTCATCGCCGTCACTGACCTGTACTGGTGCTCCTGGATCGCCACCGACTTGGTGGTAGTGGTGGGTTGGGCCATCTTCTTCGCCAAGAACAGCCGGGGCCGTCGGGGCGGCGCGGCGAATGTCGCGCACAACCACCATCAGCACCACCACCACGTTGCGCCTCCTTTGCACCTGCCCGCTGCCTCATCAGCCTCTGTTGGGGCCCCGGCCGGGGCCAAGGCGCGCGGCGGACGCGCGAGCGCTGGAGGCCCAGGGAGCTGCCCGGGGGCGACCGGGACGGCGGGGGAGTTCGCCTTCGCCTACCTGGCCTGGCTCATCTACTCCATCGCCTTCACGCCCAAGGTGGTGCTTATCCTCGGCACGTCCATCCTGGACCTCATCGAGCTGCGCGCGCCCTTTGGCACCACGGGCTTCCGCCTCACCATGGCGCTGTCGGTGCCCCTGCTCTACAGCCTGGTGCGGGCCATCAGCGAGGCGGGCGCGCCTCCTGGTTCTGCGGGACCCCTGCTCCTGCAGCCCCAGCAACACCGGGCTGCTGGCTGCTTCCTGGGCACGTGTCTAGATCTGCTCGACAGCTTTACCCTGGTGGAGCTGATGTTGGAAGGGCGGGTGCCGCTGCCCCCGCACCTGCGATACCTGCTTATCTCTGTCTACTTCCTCACCCTTGCCTCGCCGGTGCTCTGGCTCTACGAGCTCAACTCCACAGCTGTGGCAGCGTCGTCCTGGGGCCAGGCCTCAGGCCCTGGCAGCTGCAGCCGCCTTCTGCGCCTACTGAGTGGCTGCCTGGTGGATGTGCCCTTGCTAGCGCTGCGGTGCCTCCTGGTGGTGAGCTTCCAGCAGCCCCTCTCCATCTTTATGCTCAAGAACCTCTTCTTCCTTGGCTGCCGAGGCCTGGAGGCCCTAGAGGGCTGTTGGGATCGGGGGAGTCGGACCTCCCCTACTCGGGCTAGGGGCAGTTATGGTGCTCCACCTTCTGCCCCACCGCCCCCGTCGCCACCACCTCAGGGAGGTTCCCAGCTGGGCCACTGCATCTCTGAGAACGAGGGGGGTCCCCATGGTTATGTCAACACGCTGGCTGTCGCTTCCCAGAATTGAGGGAGTGAATGAGAGGGAGCCTTGCTTTGAGGTTGAGGCCCCAGGCCCTGTGGCCTCAGACCTGTTCCCGGGATTTGGTTAGATTTTGTTGGGAAGAGGTGACTTTTACTAGGGCTGAGGGCCAGCACATCCTTTTGCACACTTTAGGTGAAGACAACTCAGAGGGAGCAGTAACCATGGGGGAGGTGGGTTCACTTACCCTTTGCTCCTTTTTCCATATCTTACCCCAATACTGACCTCCATGGGACTGGATGACTATGCTTCCTGCTTTCCCTGCCTCACCCAAATTCCCATCCATTGTGAGAGAGAATGGAGGAAAGGGGATTATCCAGGCAAGGGGGCTGCACCTTGGGCCTTCACCAGCATCTTTTAGGCTGTGGTTTGAGGCCACTGACCCCAAATCCACTCTTCTCCTTGTGTATCTATTCCAGAAAGTAGATGAAGAGAGAGGTGGGGGGGGGAGGGGGGGAGGCATTGTTTCCTTGTGTCTACCCTGTGGTCCTTGCAACCACAAGGGGGGTTGGGGAAAATTTTGCTGCCCACCCTCCACTACCACCAATCTCCTCTTTCCTGCCTGAATTTTTGACCACGAATCCCCAGGAGAGTGGGCCTTGGAGTTACACAGTTGCTTTCCTCAAGGGAGAAGCTCTCCCAGGTCTTCCTCAATCCCACTCCTCCCTTCTCAGCTTGGGAGGAGGGATCCATATTCTAAGGACCAAACGACACCCATTCTTGGGTGAGTGAGCATTTCTACCTCTGTGCTTTCCACTTTGTTGCATCATGCACTGATGCTGCTTGCAAAAAATAAAGGAAATATAGAAGTTGTGTTCAGTGTGGCCCCAGGTCCCATTGGGGTCTGGTGCCAGTGATTACAGGGTCTGTGGAGTATCAGCCATTGGCTCGCCCATCTTTTTTTTCCCTCATCTGCATCCAGAATGCTTATCCTTCCTGTGCTGGTTCTGGCTGGGTTAGAACTGGGCTCAGAGAAGCAGCTTTGGTGGGGTTCCTGGATGGATGTGAAGTTGGACTTTCCATGGATCCAGGGGAGCAGGACTCCCAGTCCCCATCTGTCTCTCCTCCAGGGAACTAGTCTAGATCAGGAAAGGCGGCAGTGACCTTTCTGTCTCTGCTCTGCTTATAGAACTCACTAGGAACAAGGCAGGCTGCAGAACCCTCCCTGCCTGGCCAGCTTCCCCTCATGCTGTTCCTCTTACCCAGGTGATGACAAGAGATGAGCAGGGTTGCCCACTTACAAACTTGGGGTGGGACATCGCTCTTGGAATCCTTGAGGCAGGATAAGTATTTTTAGGGGCGGTAAGGGTGCAGGAAGACGGTAGGGACCAAGGCCAGGAAATACTCACTTTCCCCCACCCACAATAGAATGGGATGGGGGCAAAATTTTAGGCATTTTGGGTTCCCCTTCTTTCTTCTGCTTTGGAAGTTCTGTGTAGTGTAACAAACCCTGGGCCAGGATCCGGAAGACATGGATTCTCGTTCACTCACTATCTTTGAATAATATATTATTTTTACTTTCTTGGCCTCAGTTACCTTCCTAGTGTAGCATTCTTTGTATTTAGGTCCCTTGAAAGCCCTGATTATAGTGCTCTCTGTAAGGGTAGGTAGGAGAGGAGCCAGCCAGGATATACTTGTGGAACATTCCCTGCTTCTCCTCTGGATGTGTTTGCAGCCTCAGGCTGGAAGAGCAGGTGCTGTTGGCACCAGGGCTGGGGTGGGCTTGCAGGGTCTTTTCCTACTGCATGGTCTCTAGCCTTCTCTAGAGTCCTCAGCACAGGGAGGGGCCCAGAGTGCCAAGTCATGACAGTGCACTAATCCCACAGCCAGGACACCCAGCCAAAACAACCTCTTGTTTTGGTTCAGCTGGGATCCTTTGGAAGCCAAGGGGATGCATGGGGTTTCTTCCCTCCCACCTGCCTGGGGGCTTGTGGGCAGAAGCCATCCATGTGGACAGATCCGTGAGGGGCTAAAGCTTGGCCAGAGTGCTCTGGAGCCTGCCCTTCTCTGCGCCGGCAAGGGTGGGGAAAGGTTTACAGTCAGCACTCTCTGGGCTCCCACCCTTCTTGCACTGCACTGGCTGGCTGGATTTGACAACAAATCTGTTCTGCCTTCTCCCTACCCCGAGACTGACTCCCCTTCTTTTCTTTTGATTGGACTCAAGGTTCTGGGGCCCAGGCCCAGGCCCAGGTGGGAATTGAGAGCTGTTCCTGCTACTCCCATATCTTCTCTCCAGCTTTGCTGTTTTTCTGCTACCTAATCTCAGTGACTGTGAAAGGACATTATGTCTGAGCCATGGCTGGCCCTGGCTGGCCCCTGACCCACCTTTGTTCTACTCTTTTGATGACCATCTCCCTGCTGAGTGACTGGGTATGAACTCTGAGTGCTGTTGGGTTTTGGTTGGGGGCGTGATAGGTTCCAGTGAGCTGCCGCTTCCCTGGGTCTGTGGAGATGATGGCAATGGGGCCAATTCTGGCAGAGGCCGGGCCTGCTCAAGTCCTGCCTAGGGTTCCTTCTCCCCCTCTCATTCCYAGCATCCTCTTTTATACATTGGGCACAATTAATTTGTGCTTAGGAGGTGAGGTCCCTTCTTTTGGTGTTTTTTTTTTGGCGGGGGGAGGTAGGGTGGGGTGGGGTGGAGGGTACTGGGGATTGAACTCAGGGGCACTTGACCATTGAGCCACTCCCTAGCCCATTTTTGTATTTTATTTAAGACAGGGTCTCACTGAGTTGCTTAGTACCTCACTGTTGCTGAGGCTGGCTTTGAACTCATGATCTTCCTGACTGAGCTTCCTGAGCCACTGGAATTATAGACATGCACCACCAAGCCCAGTTTGGTATGTTTTATTTGAGTCTTTCACTCATTCCCCCTTTTCCAGTGTCAATAAGAAATGTCACTTAAAGCTTCCCTTTAAAAAATTATTTAATTTATTTTTATTTGTTTTGCTAGGGCAAATGCTCTACTACTGAGCCACATTCCCAGCCCCTTTTTCCTTGCATTCCAGGCCATCTAAATTACAGGGATTAAACCTGAGATGTTCCCCAGGGGTCTGATGACCAGGATAATGTGCTGTCCCTGAAGCCTGTGCCAGCACTATGGTTTACAGAAAAGAACTCTGGGCTCAGAATCTAGACCTGCCTGCTCCTGATGTTTGAACATGTGTGTGGGTCCTCTACGGGAACCCCTCAAACCTTACCCATTTAGACTCTCTCTAAAGACTATCAATTTGATTGAAAAGGGGTCTCCCTTTGAAACCAGGCTAGCTTCAAACTCCTGGGCTCAAGCAATCATCCTGCCTCAGCCTCCTGAGCAGCTGAGATTATAATCATGCAGCACAATGCTTGCTAAGACCATTCCCTTTTAGTATGCCCTGATAATGAGTTGGTGGATTTTTGTAGAAGAAAACTAGCTGGGAGCTAGAGCCCAGAAGGAGGAGGGAAGTGGCACCTCACTAGCATTTATCACTTTTTTTTTCTTTCTCTTTTTAAAAATAAAACCAGACTCTGTTCTGAAAATAAAAAAAACTTGAGACTTGTGACAAGCTTCTTGTGTGGTTTGTTTTAAGATCTTTCCTGTCCTGGTTTCCTTACTGAATTCTTAAATGTCACTGTGACATTCGTTGTCATTTCGTATGTTGGTATAAACATTGTGGGTACACCTTGGCTAGGTAGTTGGAGTGATCTGGGGAGGCAGAGGGCTATGGCCTGGGGCTGGGGGTGTCTAGCCAGGTCTTGTGTAGGCGTGGCTAACTCTGTGGAGAGGGACTCCCCCAGCTGCCTGAGTTTCTCCCAGAATAGCTTTCCAAAGGGGAAAGGCTAGAGAAAACAGATTTTTATTTAATTATTTAAAAAAAAATATTTAACATTTTTTTTAGTTGTAGATGGGCACAATATCTCTATTTATTTTTATGTGCTGGGAATTGAACCCAGTGCCTCATGCATACTAGGCAAGCACTCTACCACTCAGCCACATTTGAGATGGGGTATTGCTATATCACCCAGGCTGGTCTTGAACTCTAGGGCTCAAGCAATCCTACCACCTCAGCCTCCTGATTGTCTGGGACTGTAGTCATGTGCCACTGTGCCTGGTAAGAAACAATTTTAAATATGCTTTCCTTCCTTATCACTCTTGCCCCAGCCAGAAGCATGCATTCTTATGTATGAATGAGAAGAAACAACCATGTCTTATTTAATTATTTATGAACAGGAAGGAGACTATTAAGTCTAAGGCAGAATCTTGGGTCTGCACCAAAATAAAACCACAGTAATTTTTTCTTAGCACAAAGGCAGCCAGTACTATTCACCCCACTCTCTGTTGTTACTCTACAGTTTATTGCTTTCTGCTATTCCAAAGGCTTTGTAGCAGTCTGGTCCAGCAGGGTACAGGAGGCCAAATCAGAGCATGGAAGAATCAGGGAATCTGTTTGTGTGGCTTGGGCAATCCCCAGACCTGGAACTGGTTCATCATTTATAAACAGGGGCAAAGAGTCTACCTCACAGAGCTGTGGTAAGAGTGGATGAGGTGACATTTGCTAAAACGGCGCTTTTCCTCAAGACACTGATAATCCCAACTGGGGACCAAATTGACATGCAGAACAATTATAGAACAACATAAGAACACGTTCTTAAATCTGGTGTAAAAATAAGATCAATTTGGCTAAACATGTTTTGCATTTGTCTACTAGAGTTAGCTCAGCTGGTGCTCACCAATTGGTCAGCTGGAACATGTCAGAACGCCCCTGGGAAAGGTAGAGAAGAGCTCTGGTGACCAGTTCAGCATGCCAACACGGGGGACAATCTGACCCTTCAGGGCTGGCTCCAAGGAGGAACACAGAAACAGATCCCACCCTTGACTGTGGGATTAGCTCATTTTCTCCTTGTCACCTGTTTTCCTGAGGCCTGGGAAGATGAGAAGGCTTGTGAATGCCACACTGCAGTCACCAAGGGAAGCCAGGTCTGTCACCTCCAGAATCTGCAGCACCCTGGGA